AGAAAAGAGCAGTGCAGTAAGACGGTAATGGTTTTGATGAGAAACCCATTGTTTTCTGGTTTAGATAAGCGGATTGTTTCATTACCTAATTTCAGTGCCACAGTATTTAATTGATATGTGGCACCATTTCGGTTCATACTACATAGTTAAGACTGGTAAACAATTCAAAACGAGCTTGAAGCAACTAAATGTTGGCTTTGTTACAGAGTTTTTCCAACCCTTAAAATACTCATCGCTTGTTTTTTATTACTAACTCAACTCAAGGCTCTCTTTGATGTTAAGAATGTTTTGCCAAGAAAGGTTTTTGTAAATTTTGAAGTTGAAAGTATAAAGTATCACAAGGCTTCAAATTTCATGCAAAACCTTTAAACTATTATTTGCTAAAAAACTTGTGAACACGAAACTTTTAAGTCGTCCGTTCATCTTGATTCACAGCGTCTGCGCATTTGGTATGGATGTTAGAGACGCAGGTTCTAATGATTGCGGATGGCAGTTTTTTTGAATCCGTATCAGTCGGTGAGAGTAATCATTAAATTTTAATTTCATAACTGCAAAAACAGACATCATGTAAACCAAAGTTGAAAATAATGCACCGACTAAATTTGATTGCTAAAGGAAAGGCTTCCTGCATTTTGCTGCAGCACGTAAAATCCTCCTTGTCATTGGCGATTAATAATGCATTGTAAAATACTCTAATTCTGCGATTTCGCAGCCTACTCTGCTGATTTATTGTGACTGTACTGAATGCATGAGATACACTTTCTCGTTACATCTTTAAACGGTCCTGTCAATGAGCGCACCTTAGTGAGTCATTTTATCGTCTCGCTGACTTCTTATGGATTAAAATGTCCTTTCGCTCTGTTTAGTTACATTCGTTGCTTATTATAAAATTCTAACTTTAATTTACCGCGCTACAAATTATCACGCACATCCCAGCAGTTTATTGCATAATAATTTTTTTAAAGAAACCAGGTTCAGTGGTAAAGTTCTTCAGCACATTTAACTGTGAGCTTTTTCGTTTGAGAACAGGTCCCCAAATAATAACACAAAACAAATATTTGGTTCTGAAAAAAAAGACGCCGCAGTAGATAAGTAATGGTTTTGTTTTGAAAACTCTACTGTTTTTGGTTTAGATAAGCATCTTGTTTCATCACTAAATTCCACTGATGAAATATTTAATTGTCATTTGGCGCCATTATAATTCGCGGGGTCCCAATATTTAAAGGCATATTTGGAGTTTTTCTTGCGATTAGATAAAGGAGAGAAAGAAGAAGGAAGCTACTCAAGTTCCAGTCGCTTCACTTGCC